TTTGAGTATTCTAGCTTCAATCGAATTCTAGAAAATTTTGTGGGGATTTTGGACCACCAAACACTATCCACACACTTCAGAAAATTGCACAAGCAACAACTAAAACTTCAGAAAAAACTAGACGTTAATGGCCAAAAACCGACTGTCCCTTGCCAAAAACAATCCTTCGACACCAACAAGCAGCAAACAACCAAGGCAATCCAAGACTAGGGTTTTGAAGACCAAACCAAGACGGTTTGAATGGGACCAACCACGATCATTTCCAATCAATAAATCGACCGCAAATGAGACTAAAGAACACTTGTTTTCGCGAAAAAGCAATACGCTTTTCCAACAAGCAATGAGTCGAAGGGTGACGAAAAGCACACAGATGGAAAGAAGAGATCAAGACCTTTCTAACAATGGGTGGGGCATCGATTTCCAACATCGGTAACAACTGGAATCAGGCTAAGAAAAACCGAGATGAGCACCGACAGTTGGTGAGTTGAGAGAAAAAATTTCAAAGAGAAATTCACTCAATCCAAAATTAGTAAATGGAATACTAATAATAGACAACATTACAAATTTTAAATTACTCAATCATCTCAAGGGAAAGACTCTTGACAAATATCACTAAATAAATTAGTTGTATGCATTTACCCTTAATACGCACATATAGTAAGAACTAAGAATGACAAACAAAATTTTCAAAGGGAAAATAACAAGTAAACAAACCCAAGAATTTGCAGGACCCGAAATCACACATAGTCAAACAGAAATCTGCAATACCTAAGAGGTTGATACGCTAAGAGGAGATTAAGTAAGACAACGACCGACAAAGGAGAGGGAAGAAAACAGCGACGGGAAAGATGACGAAGGGAAGTTGCGATTTCAGTTTTCAAAGAGAAACGGTGAAGAATGAGAGAAGAGATATTTGTGATTTAGGGATTTTAATTTTAATTTTTATTCCCAAATTGTGTTTTACATTATTTGAATAGGGGTGGGTTTGCAAAATTTACAGTTTATAAATTTTGTATGACCCGTATTACTTTACAAACTATCTACTTAATCTGTTTAAAGAAAAAACTGAATCTGAGATTATTCAATGGGAATTGGGTCCCAGCTGAATCCCAATTTAGATGTGTTATAGACAAAGGACAATGCCAAGTAGCATCTACAACTACAACCACGGCTCATTTCCAATATATGGTCGCTGATCCACCGTATCATGTTAGATGGAGCTATATCACGGTCTTTTGTTTATCATATCAATGCTTATTTTACTAAAGAAACGCAAATTGTGTTTATTTTATTCGTCCATGTGAGTCCTACCGCGTTAATTATTTAATTTACTTTTGTGCCATGTAACATTCATTTTCCGTCAAATCTTATAGTCATACCTACCTTGTTCATTAGTTTATTTTGAATAATATAGGCAATTAGGCAAAAATTAATCTTGTTTATTATATATCTTTAATTAATTGGGATCAAACGTTCTTTAACACTAAACTAAAATGATTTATTTTTAACAGGTTCGGAATGAATGACTCAAACCAATAAATTTCTTTTCTCGAATGGCTTTATACCGTGTTAATAGTGCAATTTTGTGAGGTGTATTTTAAATATAAACCACAGAGTAACCTGAGTTTAAGAAGCTAACCACGTCCTCTTCGCACACCGCCCGCCCATCACTCATCACTGTCCAAATCCAAATCTCATTTTAAAAAATCACCACGTTTATATTTATTACATGATCTCTACATCATATATCCACAGGACAGGACAACCAACCAAACGATTTGTATAAATAAAAGCCTTCTGCTTCCAGCAGATCCAATCTCCCCACTCACTCACTCAAATCTCCACACTCTCAATACTCTCCACCATGGGCTTTCCAGCCAACGGCTCTGATGGCGCCAACTCATTCAAGTTCTTGATCTACGGCCGCACTGGCTGGATCGGTGGCGTCCTCGGCAAGCTCTGCCAAGCTCAAGGCATCGACTTTGTCTACGGCGCCGGTCGCCTCGAGAACCGTTATTCACTCGAAGCCGACATAGCTGCTGTCAAGCCCACTCACGTCTTCAACGCTGCTGGCGTCACCGGCAGGCCTAATGTGGATTGGTGCGAATCACATAAGGTCGAGACTATCCGAACTAATGTGGTCGGTACTATTACGCTTGCTGACGTTTGCAGAGAGAAACGTTTGGTTTTGATTAATTATGCTACTGGTTGTGTCTTTGAATACGATGCGGATCACCCGCTTGGATCAGGTATTGGATTCAAGGAGGAAGATACTCCGAATTTTATCGGATCTTTCTACTCCAAGACCAAGGCCATGGTAAGTTCTAAATCTAAGATTCTTACTTTATAATTTTGTCATATAGTAACAAATGTGAATTAATGATTCATGGAACTGATTGAGTATGCATGAAAATGTGTTAGATCTGATGATTTGTTTATGGGATCTAACTGCTTTTGTTATCTAAATTTTGGTAAATGGGGGAACTTGCATTTACACTCCCATTTTAGCTTCCTAAATGATATGTTGAATTGTCGTGTCATTGATTGCCACGCTTAGTAACTTGGTCCACACGCAATATTAAGATTCATGGTTATGGCATGCTTTACAGTTGAGGCTAGTGTCAAAATTTCATTTCCTTTTGCTTCTTTCTCAATTGGTATGAAAATACTGGCTAGATATATAAGCTACTGTGCGTAGCGCAATAAATCCCACTACTTTACCTTTTGTCATTGTGAAGATCTTAGCTTTAGTATTTGGAAGTAAGATAGGCATATCATGTTCGGTTAAAAACTGTGTTAAAGGTTACAAATTGTATAGTTTCGAGTTATTTTTCTAATGAAAAAGAAGAAATGTTTATGGTTGTTAGAGGTTGTTTGGTTGTTCTGATTGGTTGTTTCCTTATATATGAAAGGTGGAGGATCTGCTGAAGAATTATGAGAATGTGTGTACATTGCGTGTGAGGATGCCAATCTCATCTGATTTAGCAAATCCCCGCAACTTCATCACAAAGATCACTCGATATGATAAGGTAGTCAACATTCCAAACTCCATGACTATTTTGGACGAGCTCCTCCCGATTTCCATTGAGATGGCAAAGAGAAACCTCACTGGAATTTGGAACTTTACAAATCCTGGAGTGGTCAGCCACAATGAGATCTTAGAGATGTATCAGGAGTACATTGACCCCAATTTCACTTGGAAAAATTTTACTCTTGAAGAGCAAGCAAAGGTGATCGTTGCCCCAAGGAGCAACAATGAGCTTGATGCCAACAAATTGAAGAAGGAATTTCCTGAACTCTTGTCCATTAAGGAGTCCCTCATCAAATACGTGTTCCTGCCAAATAAGAAGACTGCCTGAGCTTGAAAATTTTAGGTTTGAATTTTTAAGTTTTCTTATTTATTGAATTTAGTTCCCGCAGGTTGATGTGATCTCAATGCTATATGGGCTCTTCTTCCCACATAACATACATGATTGCTCCTATTTGTATCTGAATACTTTATTCACAAATAAAATAGTCAGAAGTAATTTGTCAAGTTATAAATAAGTATTTGTAAGTTGATTGGTATTGGACTGCAATTGCTGAGGATTGCAACATTTCTGATCTTCTGCTTTCCCTAGCTGGTTCACTCAATGTAATTTTACAAATATGTCCTATTGCCATCTGTTTGGACTGCCAAACAGATAAAAAGGGATAGCACATTACTTAGGGATTTGAAATTAAGAGATTTGTACCCATTTTTATTGATGTAATAGAATGTTTGGTCTATTTTACATTCCCAGCCAAGTTTAAATTCTCTCTCTCTCTCTCTCCTCTCCCCCCAACCACCCCCCCTTTTTTTTTAATTATATTTATTTACAATTCTTTTTGTTTGCATGAGGATTTGATCTGTATAATGTAAAAAGATCTGTTAAGTTGATTTCAGGGGAAAAAAATGCAATTGATGCCACGGCTTAGTATGTTACTGGGATGCCTAGTTTTTGCAGCTTAGTTACCATTTAGTTGTTGCAGAATCTTTCTTCAAATGCTATGGCTTTATGGACAGATTCTCCTTGCTAGTTCTTTTTTTTTTTTTTTTTTAATCTAGACAAATAAGAAAAGAAGTTGTCCTATCTTAATGCTGACAGAGTTGGTGCAGACATGCTAGCAGTAGCAAGATAGCTCGAGGTGGCAAATCCTCACCATTTACTTTCATGGTAATTTTTCTGTCATTGCCAATAGCTAGCAATTAGATGAATTGTTCTGTCATGTTCTCTTAATTAATACTCACAACTCAAAAGTCAAGAACAGAGATAAAACAACTAGGTTTCTGTTTTCTTCAACCACTAAAAGTGATCCAACCATGAATTTTTTGTTTTTATTTTTGTAATCTGGTGTTCCCGTTGTTGAATTAGGTTCATCTAATGATTATTGACATATGCATAGTTATTTGATTGATTTTGTGATTTTTTTTTCTTTATTCCAAATGATAGTTTGAAGTTGAAATTATTGTAATTTATGATGCTTAAATATTTATTTCTAGATACAATATAAGGTCCTATCGCCCATTGAAGGCCAGATAGCATAGCATGTTAGCATTAGAGGTCGTAAAGTTACTTTTTCTTTTCTCTTGGAATAAAAATGGCTTAACTCTGTAATGACAATCCTCCCAAAAAAATAAAAATTAAAACCCTCAGGCTGTGGAAATATTATTAATCGACTGGTTGTATGTTTTATTGCATATGACAAGCCCGCTAAAATAAAAAGGAAACTGACTGCGAGGTCATTTGCTCTGCGGATAGAATACAAGAGTTTGAAGAAGTTTCATGGAATATTAAAGGTACAAAATCCAACAAGCAAGCATTGTAGTAACACTAGACATATAAAAGCAGAAACTAAATACAACAGAGTTACCAATTGCCTGTGTGATTTGACAACAAATGCCAATGGCAGTGTTATTCAAAGTCTTATTTCCATCTTGTAGAAGCAGTTCAAAATTACATGCCATTATCAGAGGACGGAAACTGCATTATGGATAGGGTTTAATTGCGTCCAAGGATTCCATTCTTAGTATACATGGAAGGACCGTTGAATTTCAGGCTTTTCTGAGATGCTGAGAAGGATGAAATAGGAGAAAGAGAGAAGATATTATATACCACAATTGGGCTTCTTACTTGATGAACTCCATCTTCCCAGATAATTGCACCTGACATAATTGGCTGCTGTGAAATCTTGGGACCTTTGACTGTCAATGTAAATGATTTCTTCTCCCCAACGCTGGAGAATGACAGGACCGACGGCTCAACATCAACACTAACATTAGGAGGCATATATGGTCTAGCAGTATAGGTTGAGTTTGGTGAGCCAACATTGGTAACTGTCCTGGTAAAGACACTCCAAATCTTCTGGCCATCTAGCAAAGCTAGAGAGAACGATGGGTAATTCAAATCCCAAGCTCTTCCAGACTCTGTGCTTGAGCAAACACTGCTATTGTCGCTGGTGACCAATCTTAGAGTGGTATCGTTATACCCTTGCATGCAGAGGAAGTTTATGTAATCTGTCTCATTTGCATCATAAACAAGCCCAGGGTCTATTGCGTCCACAGGGTTGAGGTGACCCGAACCATATGCAAATTCAAGGTCTGGGTGCTTTTTGGTGTCCATGGCATGAGCTATTCAGAAACAATGAAAAAGGGAATTAGTGGTCTATGTCATTTATATGTCCATGGAAATGGTAACTAGGAAACAAATTCACTCACCTGTGGTCATAAGGGCTGATTTAATGGCAGAAGAAGACCAGTTGGGGTGGGCAGCCTTGACGTAGGCGGCAGCACCACTAGCATGAGGACATGACATGGATGTGCCAGAGATTATGTTGTAATTGACAGCTCTGGTGTCTTCATTGTAGATGGAAGGTGGTGACACAGGAGACCAAGCGGCAAGGATGTCCACACCAGGTGCAGTGAGATCAGGCTGTGGGTCATCCATGGACAGATTTCAAGACAGACTCTAAGATTGAACAACTGGTGTAAATTGAAGCTTTTTTTTGTTAATACCTTGAGAATGTCAGGGCTGACAGGGTTTGGTCCTCGAGAAGAAAAGGATACAACATAAGGTGCCATGATATCCTTCCAAGTCTGACCAACAAGAATAGTTGCAATTGGATTTCTGAAAATTTACCCTTATTCCAGTTAAAATCATAATCAAAATGACTTTGTTAAACTAGCTATAATATCAGATACAAGTTGAAAGAAGGATGTGGTAGAGATGTTTGTTTACTCTGTTGTTCTGATGTATTCCAAAATTTCCTTGCCGTCTTCTGTGCTGATTTGAGTTGCTGGTAACGGGTAACTGAAGGCAAAGTCAGTAATAGAAGAATCAGCCATTATGGTACCCACACCGTCAGCTATCAGAATGCCAGAACCATCCCAGAGAGTCTCACAGAAAACAATTTTTCCTGCTACTTTGTATGAGTTCATGGCACCAGTGATGCAATATTTTGAAATTTCCGGGTCAGCTCCAGCGCTGTAGTTGGCTGCATCTCCTCCCCAGATCAAGGGATATGTGGTCCCATTGAGATCAAAACTATTGATGGAAAGCCCCTTTACGACGTAGATAAAGTGAAAATGGTATTAGAACACATAAACTTGAGGAAAAGTTACATGTTGTATACAAGGGGTTGTAATTTCACTCACAGCGTAAACTTGTCCATTGCCAAGCACCACTTGGGCAATAAATTTTCGGTCAATTGTACTGGCAGCAACAGTCAGGGTCCAGGGTGCATAATTGGAAACTGATAATGGCCAGGGCCCTGAATTGCCGGCAGAATTTGAGGTCAATATACCATGTCTCATGGCATGGAAAGCACCAATAGCGATGGGATCTTCAAAGTATTCGAGTGGGACATCAGCACCAAGAGACACTGATATAATATCAACTCCATCTGCTATGGCATCGTCAAATGCTGCCAAGATATCTGCAAGAGCGCATCCGAATGACCAGCAAACCTTGTACATGGCTATCCTTGAATTGGGAACTCCACCTCTGGCCTTTCCATTAGCTAGCCCGTAGTAGTTTGCATTAGGTACCTCGCTGCCTGCTGCAGTCGAGGAAGTATGCGATCCATGTCCCTCGGAATCTCTTGGAGACTGGAAATCGGTAATGTCATAGTAGTTTTCACTGTTGTAGTAGCGAGCTCCAATGATCTTACTGTGATTTCATTAATTCCATTAACTACTGATAGAAATGAAGCACAAATGATGTCACAGAGTATGGGAAGAAGAACAGAGCTTTACTTGTTGCAGGTGAAGTTGGCACCTTGACAGATTCCTTTCCATTTAGAAGGTGGAGCAGCGAGTCCATAGTCACTGAAACTCTCAGATTCTGGCCAGATTCCTACAAAAGAAAGAAGGTAAAAGTTTCATTATATTTAGAGCATCATCTACGATTTTTCGGCAAAATGAAGTTAATAGTGAGTATTTAAAATCAAGACCTGTGTCAAGAAGTCCAACGACGACGTCTCCTTCTTCAGCTGCTCCAACCTTGCTTTGGGAGAAACCCATGAAATCCCATGACCTTGTGGTGTGAAGCTTTAGTATATGGTTTGGAATGACTGATATTACGCCTTCCAGTGCTGCATAAAATCCACTTTTGTATTTAGGGTGAAACTCAAAAATATATATTTTATTTTCCATCAGTAGACACTTGTTTACAATCTCACCGGAAAACCTTGCAGCTTCTTCATCTGTTAATTTAGCTGCAAATCCGTTGAAGCTCCTTCCATAACTATAGATTAGAGACTGTTTGGCTGATTTTTTGCTGCACTCAAACGTTACAGATTATTCAGAAAGTAAGGTTTATTTTCAGCCTGCTCCAAGGGTGAGTAATCAGGCATTTTTAAGTTTTGTTTGCATGGTTTTGATTTCAGCCCTTGTGTGGGCAATGATGTGCAAATTAATAATTTGGACTGAGTATAGTAAGTGATCGTCTCTTGATTATACAAATGTGCCCGGTGGCAGCTCCACCCTTACAAGACCAATATTTTTTACACAAATAATAACCTAAAAATAGTTTTTTATAGGTTGGAAACGATTACAGAATACTCAAAACTACGACTAACTAATTTTGAATCCGTAAAAATATTCCACAAAGGAAAAATATTATAATTAAGGTTTTGTTTGAGATTATTCATTATTGTAGCTTCTCTTAATTACTTTTGGTCAAAAGTTTATGAATGATAAAAGTTTCTGAGGTGTTCTTTTTTTGTTTAATTTTTAAATCGCTTTTACTTTTAAAAAAGTATATGTGATAAATGTAAAATGATCAAAATACATTTTTTTAATTAACTTTTTTATTGTTAAAATATATTAAACATAATTTTTTTTGTAACATAATAATTAAATTAATTTAATAAATTGATGTAGATTTTTAAAACCCTACCAACAACACGTTAGAATTATGTTAATAATAAGCGTATTTTTGTAATCAACACTCCTTAAGCAGGTTTTGATTTGCAAACCTACTTTTGGAATCCTTTAATAAAATAGATTATTTCATAATAAATGGTTGTATAATCACTTTTTAAATTAGTTTGTTAAGTACTTTTTAAATTATAAATTAAGAAATGAGTCAATATGGGAGAAGTTACAGCAAACTCAACTTATTCTGATTTTATTGATCAGATTGATTGAAACGTTAATATAACATAACTCATCCTAAAATAAGATAATCTAAAAATTAAAATAATAATTAATATATATCAAATATATCAAAATTTTCCTACATTACTATGTTGTAGATATTGGAGCACTTGGTAAGATCTTGCTCTATTATCGAGATCATTAATAATTTTGGCTGCAAAAGTCAGTCCTGTTTTGTATGTACATGGCAAACATTAATAGAGTAATACCCTAGATAGAATTAAGGTGTTAAGTAAACTGTAAAAGTGTAACCCTAAAATAAAACTAATAAATAATAATATTTACTTGCTAATTTCATAGGTTAAAACCCTGCTTTGAGTGCAACATCAAATTTTAAATAGTTAGTGGTAGTAAGTAACCTTCCAATAACATTTTGTAGCATGGAATGGTGCGTGGATGCTAGTGGAAAATCTCCTTGAGGCCGATCTCCCATATACACAACATGAACCTAAGAAAACAAAACAAAACAAAAGTATAAATATGTATCCTATAATTATAAATATATGTATACTGGAAAAAACCATAAATACCTTCCTCTCATGGGCATGACAGTTTAGCGCAAATGCTATAAACAACAATGAATACAAAAGAGAATGGAGAGCCATTGACACCAAACTTTGTTGTATCTTGAAATGATTTAGGTTCAAAATTTAAGGTATTTATAAGAACAAAACTTGAAACTTAATTGTGATCTCCGCATACATCAAGCCGTCCTTTGTTGCTTCTGTATATTGTTATTGTCATCAAATTATGTTTGAATTTGTACGATAGTTTCAATTGAAATTACAATGTTTCCTATACTTCTCCCTTGTTTTGTTTGAAATTTATCTGTCTTTGTTGGCTTCGTTAGTATCAAGGAAATTTAATTTAATCTTTTAGCCGGTGACATGGAACCTTTTTCTTCGGTGTGGTAGCGGCTCATCAAAAATAGCAGTCGATATACACTTATGTCATACAAAACCCAAAAGAGCCCGATCAAAGATTTATCTCAATGAGGTTCCAGTCAAAGTCATTACACATTTCAGCAAGGCCCATTAACTTGAAGGTGATTTTCTTAAGAGTGATACTATTGGTCCCCTACTACTCCCCTACCTTTCATAATTTTTTTTAATTCCAATTTTATCCTCTTCAAATTTACTAAATTGGATAAAGTAAAAATACTAACTACATCTAAGATATATAATTATTTTTAAAACTCTAATTTTTATTCTACATTATAAAAGTTTTTTTTTAATTATTTTTTTAATGCATCTTTTATCAAAATTGGTTTAACTAGTTCTTTTTTTAATAGCTAGAACGAAGCAAATGATGTATTGTTTTTGAGAAGCAAGGCTGAGAAAATTATTTCATAGACCTAATAGTAGTATTTGTCGATGTATAACTTAAATTATTTTGTACATCTTAGTATTTTAAATTATTTCAAAATTACAAATAATATTGAATGAAGAATAGTATCTGATTAGTAAAAAAAAAAAAAAAAAATCATCAATATTTCATTTTGTAATCAAATTAGTTACATTTATCTCCAATAATTTAATAGTTGTATTGTATAAATTGTATTTGATTTAATCTCAATACAAGATTTCTTAAAACAAAATATAATTGATTTTTATCTAAATCCACAGAAAATAAAGATTAATAAAGTATGAGAAAAGTAATTATTAACATTTTAATAAACAAGGATTGTTTTGGAAACACACGAGGTTTATTTAGACATTTATTTAATAATTTAAAACTTTTCATGTGTAATAGATTATGTGGCTTTCCACACTTATGCCACATTATTCTTAATGACAAACGGATTGGCCAAGGACAAGTGTATCATGCACTCTCCATGTAAAGCCACCTATCACTTGTGTTGGCATTGAAGGATTGGATTAATGGCTGCCGTAAAATTGATCTTCCATATCAGAAAATATGGTTAGTTCCTAGGTAATATATTTTTGTAATTGTTTCCTGAACTAACCAATTGACTTTATTTCTTTATACGTATTGCTAATGTTGTTACATTTTGCTAGTAATGGCTTAAGGCTTGTTTAGGACATTACTTGAGATATGATGTTCTGAAAAACTATTCTAAATAGGATAAGATATGATTAAATTAAATATGATAGGATTTTAAGAATGTATTTGGTACATTTTTGGAAAACCTTTTTTGAAAATATTTGGAGTATTTTTTTACCCTCTACATTTGTTAATTTAGTTAAACAACCCCCACAATAAAAATTTATAAATTAACAAAAACACCCCCACCCACCCAACCGATTGCCAACAGCCAGACACCATAGCCGGATGGTGGTCGATAGTCGCCAGAATGACACAGGAACAATTGGATTTGGCTGGTCGTATGTCGATATGGCTTTTTCTAGTCAGATAAACCAGATCTACAATCAGAATCTGGTTATCATCAACGACTAGATCTCTAACTGTAGATCTGGCCGTTTTCAGCCAGATCCATGGTGGATCTAGCCGAAAACGGCTAGATCGGTGCACAATCGGCTAGATCCAACCTATTGTGCGTCATTCTGGTGCTGCTGACTGATGGTGATAGCGATGGCGGCTGGCGGCCGACGGTGGTGGTTGGCAGGCAACAATGGCTTGGGTGGGTGGGAGAGTTTTTGTTAATTTATAAACTTTTATTGTAAAAGGTAATTGTTAAATGTTTTGAGTTGAATAGAATAAGATTAGATTTTGAATTGAATAGTTAATATTAAAACAAACACGTTTTTTACTATTTAGGATAGGATAAGATAATAGAATAGAGTTTTAAAAACTGTAACAAACAGGGGGTTAATTGCATTACATATTTATTTTTCTAAATTGTACTATATTACTGAAGACACCAGAAATTATGGCAACTTGAAGTTTTGTAAATAGAAATGATAAATGAACATAGAGTTCGAAGAATCAATCCCCAATCATGAACTTAAAGTTCTAAATTTAAAATTTTGACTTTTATCTTAGAATCTGAAGTTTCAAACGTCAGAACCTGAAGTCCTGAGCTATGATTGTGATATATAGATTCTAATATCATGCAATTTATTGTTATTATTGTCATTTTATTATTCATTACATTTTATGCAATTTATCATTCTTTTACAATTATCGCATTTTATATTTTTATTTTTATTATTGTTTTGGGATGCCAGTATGCATTCTATGACATGCATCCGGAAGATGTGCATTAAGGAAAGAAAATTACTTATCCTTGTAAGATAAAGTAAAATCCTAAGTTATACAATATTCTAAGGAACTTGAAGTTCTAATATGATTCTTTTACCTTAATACCTAAAGCTTTAAAGCTTTTTCTAAGATTAATAAATGATCTTTTTATATGTTAATCTAACATGTACACTAATTACGCTACTCTTATTAATGAATATTTTTTGGAAATGTTGAACCTTGTGAAGCCCTGAGACTAGATGGAAAGAACTATGTTGAATAGGCCTTAGACACTATTCTCCACTTGGAATTTATGAACTTGGGTGAGGTGATTGAGGGAGGAAATACAACGTCCCTACAGGACAAAGTGAAGACTACTATTTTCCTCCGACATTATATTTAAGAAGGATTACAAGCTGAGTACATGGATATAAAAGATTTACTTCAATTTTTGATTAATTTGAAGGAGAGATTTGAACATAACAAATCAATAATGCTCCCAATGGCTCAATATGATTGGACTTATTTGTGTCTAGAGGATTATAAGTCAATTAGTGAGTATAATTTTGTTTTGTGTTTACAATTATTTTTTAAATTGAGGTTATGTGGAGAGATAATATCTGAAGAAAATATGTTAGAAGAAACATTATCCATTTTCTGCCCTCTTAATATGCTCCTAAAGCAACAATACTGGGAACGCAACTTTAAAAAGTATTATGAACTAATTTCTTGTTTGCCTGTTACTAAACAAAATAATGTATTGTTGCTAAGAAACCATCAAACTCGTCCAATTGGCACTCAACCGTTCCCTAAAGTGAACGCGACTACCAATAGTAATAATCGTGAGCGTGGGCGTGGGTGTGGGTGTGATCGAGGTCATGGGCGAATAAATTTTCGACCCAAAGGTGGTCATACTAAGAAGTTTTAGTCAAACCACCAAAAGTGGAACAAGGCTGAACCAAAGCATGAGAAAAGAAACAATTCACATAACAAGATCTTGAATGATAATGAAAACAAGTGTTATAGATGCAGAGGAAAAGTCCATTGGTCGCAAACATGTTGTATATCCAAATACTTGGTAGAACTATATCAAGCATCAATAAAAGGATAAGAAGATAAAGACAAATCACACTGATAATCCTGAGACAAACCATATTGATAATCCTAATCAAACTGGGTTTGCAAATCTTAATGTCTCAGACTTCTTTGGAGATGCTGATATGTGCCATTCAACTGGTGACGAGAATGCCTACGATTTCTAGGATTTATGTTAATCACCTTATGACATTTCATTATGTTATGAAATCATGTATAGTTTTAGGATCCATGAATATTTTTCTTTTGTTTGTTATCATGTAGTCCTTCATGTTTCATAGACATCTTGGAAAATAGCTTCAGTCTACTATGCCAGCAAGTCAATGCTTGATATTGAAACATGCTACGACTCACTTGAGAAGCTTGCCCTAGCATTAATCACCAAACTCATAAGTTATGACCATATTTCTAGTGCCATCCGATAACCATCCTCATGACCTTCCCATTGAAGAAAGTGTTGCACAAACCCCAGAATTCGGTCGACTCACCCATGGGCAATAGAAAGTACGTTGTGTCTCACCAAACGTCCATCCTCTAAGTGGACTCTGTCGATGGACAGATCCAGCAACATAATGGCATCGATACAGGACTCGTACTTGCTGTTAGGAAATGACCCGTTTGCTCAGCGAAACAACAAAATTTTATACAACTGTAGATCGTTCCTTAAAGCCCAAAATCAAGGCACAAATTTTACAGTTTATGTATATATCAAGAATCTGCAGAAAATAAAATAAATCTAAAGTTTAATTCATACCCACTTGGGCTCCGCCATATTGTCTCTAAACGTGTTTGCTCCATCCAAGTATAGCGAACCGTAGAGGTCTACACGAAGACATCACAGAACCAATGAGGGATTTGCTAGATCCTCCTTGGCCTTAAAATCAAAGAAGAAACAAAAGTGTTTGTTTTTCAATGAACAGTAAAAGTGCGGGGAGAGTTTTTAGGCTGGGTTTCTCTCTTTTCAAAAATTGAAGAATGAATAAAATAACACACACCCTTTTTCCAACTAAAACCTTTTCTTTTATAGTTATTTTAGTTGCCGTATTCCCATATGGAATGGCTTGCTCCAACCCAAACACCCCCAAATTTGCCAAACACCCCAATTAGATATTTTAATTTAATTCATCATTATTTCAATTAAAATCAATTAATATTTAATTAACATTTAACAATAATGATGATTTAATTAAATATGTGCGAACACACATTAAACCGAATTTCACTTATTTAATTTTTCTAACAAATTAAATAAAAGGCTACAACCTCAGCAAATTTAATTGCACTGTGAAATACCAAAATACCCTTTCGCCTAAAAAGACGAAAACACCCTTCTTTCTTTCTTGCTCTAAATTATCTTCTA